TCGCTTGCCCACCCCACCGTTCTGTGGCACCACCGGCTGGGACACCCTTCTCTTCCACGTCTGCGTGCTATGTCTAGTCAGCGTCTGGTCTTAGGTCTCCCGCGTGTCTTGCCGTCGCTGCCGCCGTCCCTTGCACCACCGTGCGGTCCTTGCGTCGAGGGTAGGCTGCGTGCCACCCCTCACTCCTCCTCCCTTCGTCCGGCCACCGAGCCTTTTGAGACACTGCACTTGGACGTCTGGGGCCCCTCTCCTCGCCCTGGCCCTGAGCGTGAGCGTTTCTTTTTGGTGGTCGTTGACGACTACTCCCGCTATACCACAGTGTTCCCCCTGGCGAGGAAGTCTGAGGTGACTTCTACGCTGATCAGGTGGTTGCTTACCACCCAGGACACTCGTGGTCGTCGTGTCAGCTGTCTCCACTCCGACCGCGGGGGCGAGTTTCGCTCCGGCATTCTCGCTGGATTCTGTCGCGAACAGGGCATTCGTCAGTCCTGGACGCTTCCGGAGTCCCCACAGCAGAATGGGGTTGCTGAGCGTCGCATAGGCCTGGTCATGGAGATTGCCCGCACCTCCTTGACTCACGCCCGTGCCCCCCATTTCCTGTGGCCATACGCAGTCAGGTACGCCGCGCACCAGCTGAACCTCTGGCCACGCGTCTCTCGGCCGGAGGCTTCACCGACCAGTCTTTGGACAGGGTCCCCTGGTATCGCGTCGAGGTTTCGTGTCTGGGGGTGCTTGGCTCTTGTCCGCGACACCTCCGCGGACAAGCTCTCGCCTCGCGCCGTTTCTTGTGTCTTCCTTGGTTTCCCTGAGGACTCCTCTGACTTCACCTTTTACCACCCTCCCTCTCACCGGTTCTTTGACTCCCGTGACGTCCGTTTCGAGGAGTCCACCCCCTACTACGTCAGGTACCCCAGTCGAGGTCTCCCGGTTCCTCCTCCCCCCCTCTTCCTGACAGCCGCTCCCCCGCCTGCTCCCCCGGTACAGCCTCCCCCCCCTGGTCCAGCCCCGTCTGGTGTGTCTCAGGCTAGCCCTCCCCCTTCGGTAGCCCCCCCTGTACAGCCTCCCTCCCCACAGTCTTCCTCGCCGCCTCCTGCAGGTGCTCCCTCTCGGGAGGTTGGTCCTGCGACTGTCCCTGTACAGGTCTCTGGTTCTGGGGGTGCTGGAGTTGGAGCTGAGCCGCGGGTTGCAGAGGACTCTTGTCTTCCGGGGGCTGGTACTGGTCGTGCGGAGTCTGGGGGTGCTGGTGCGGAGTCTGGGGGTGCTGCGTCTGGGGGTGAGGGTGTTCCTTCGGTTTCTGGAGAGCCTGGGTCTGGAGCTGGTGTTGGTGCTGCCTCTGGGGGTGGTGTGCTTGGTGCTTCGGAGGTCGACTCTGGGGCTGCCGCTGCCCCGGACACTACTCCTTCCCCCCACCCCTACCCGACCAGGTTCCAGGCTCGTGTTCGCCGTGCTCGTGAGGAGCAGCTGGAGTTGGAGAGAGAGGAGAGAGAGTTGCAGCGGCTCGAGGAGCAGGAGCGACAGCAGCAGGGGCAGCAGCCGCTGGAGCAGCAGCAGCCGCAGCAGCCGCAGCAGCAGCAGCTGCCGTCTCCTCCTCCTGTCTCGGGTCTTCGGACCCTTGGTCTCCCCTCTCCCTCTCCTTCCTCCTCCCCCTCTCCTCCCGTCTCTGGTCCTTCGCTTCCTCCTCCTGACCCCTCTCCCGCTGTTTTCCCTCGTTCTCAGTCTTCGTTGTCCCCTCCTTCTTCTCAGACTTGGGCCTCTCGTCGCTCCCCTCGTGCTCGTCCCTCGTCTCCTGTTCCCTTCACTGACCTTCGTACTGCCTTACTTCGTTCTAGTCCACCTCGTCCGTCTCCGTCTGTGCTTCCGTCTCCTCCTGAGTCGGCTCTCACTGCGTCGCTCCCTACTCCTGTCACAGACTACTACCGCACGTACCGTCCTCTTCTCTCTCGTGTTCTCGCCTCGCTTGTTACTCACCCTCGTGCCTCTGTGTCCTCTGTGTCCGCTCTTACTGCCGCAGTCACTGACTTTGCCTCTACCCGCCGCCTTGACTTCGCCACCGCTCTTGTGGCTGCTCCTCCTTCCAGTCCTCTGGCCGTCGGGGGTGTGTCTGCCCTTGGCTGTGACGCCCTAGAGGACAGGCAGTTTGAGCTAGAGTTCCTGGCCGCCGCTTCCCCTCATCTCTGTGCCATGCTCCTCGCCCCTGAGGGTGACCCCGACGCCCTTGACATTCCGACTCCTCGCACTTACGCTGAGGCAGTGTCAGGGCCTTGGGCCTCTCAGTGGAGAGCTGCCATGGACGCAGAGATGGCCTCCTACAGATCCACAGGCACCTACGTCGATGAGGTTCCCCCTCCGGGGGCGAACGTAGTCGACGGCATGTGGATCTACAAGGTGAAGCGGCCACCGGGATCTCCTCCGGTCTTCAAGGCACGCTACGTGGCTAGAGGTTTCAGTCAGCGCGAGGGAGTTGACTTCTTTCAGACCTTCGCGCCCACCCCGAAGATGACCACTCTTCGGGTGTTACTACACGTAGCAGCACAGAGAGACTACGAGTTACACTCTCTTGACTTCTCTACTGCTTTCCTTCAGGGCAGTCTTCACGAGGAGGTCTGGTTGCGTCGTCCCTCTGCCTTCACTGGCTCTTTCCCTCCTGGGACCCAGTGGAGGCTGAGGCGACCGGTTTACGGTCTTCGTCAGGCTCCTCGTGAGTGGCACGACACCCTGCGTTCTACCCTGTCTGACCTTGGGTTCCAGCCGTCTTCTGCTGACCCGTCGCTGTTCGTTCGTCGTGGCCCCACACCTTTCTTTGTTCTGGTCTACGTTGACGACCTTGTTTTCGCCACCCCTGACAGGGTTGCTTTGGCACACGTGAAGTCCGAACTGCAGAAGAGACACACCTGCACTGATCTTGGTGAGCTGCGCCACTACCTTGGCCTGCAGATCACCAGGGACAGAGCTGCTCGCACCATTACACTTTCACAGTCGCACATGGTGCAGCAGGTCCTTCAGCGGTTCGGGCTTCAGCACTCCACAGTACAGCGCACACCTCTTGCTGTTGACCACAGACTCACTGGACCCTTTCCTGACGAGCCGTTCGAGCCTAGTGGTCCCTACGCAGAGCTTGTGGGTTGCCTCATGTACCTGATGACTTGTACTCGCCCGGACCTCGCCTTCCCTCTCAGCGTTCTTGCGCGCTTTGTTGCGCCAGGGAGACACCGTCCTGTTCACTGGACAGCAGCTGTGAGGGTGGCGAAGTACCTAGCGACGACGTCAGGCGTGGGGCTAGTTCTTGGAGGGCAGCAGTCTGTCGTACTTACTGGTCACTGTGACTCCTCTTACGCTGACGACGCTGAGACTCACAGGTCTACTCAGGGGTACTGTTTCAGCCTGGGTTCTGGAGCTGTTTCCTGGCGGTCCACGCGCTCCTCTTCGGTCTCGACCTCTACAGCTGAGGCTGAGATCTACGCTGGTGCCATGGCGGCACAGGAGCTGCGTTGGTTGACGTTCTTGCTCACCGACCTTGGTGAGCGGCCGAGCTCTGCACCGACCTTGTTCACTGACAACAAGGCGTCTATTCTCCTTTGTCGAGAGCCACGACTGGAGAGCAGAGTGAAGCACATTCACGTCAGGTACTTTCTTCTGCGAGAGTTGCAGAGGCGTGGACAGGCTCGCTTTGAGTTTGTGGAGTCCGAGGCAAACACTGCAGACATCTTCACCAAGGCGCTTCCGCCTTGTGACCACCAGAGGTGCTGTGTGCAGTTAGGCCTTGTTGACACTGGTTCTCGTGTTGCTTAGGCTTGAGTGTACTGTTTACTTTGCTTTCTATATACCTCTGTTACTTCTTGGACTGGCCTTGTGGCCACTGTTGTTTGTGCTCAGACTGTGTGGTGACGTTGTGATCCACCCTGAGCTTCGTTTCTTGGACTGGTCTTGTGACCGTACTCGTTTGGTTCTGCTAGACACCCCTCACTTAGGCTATGGGGGTGTGTCAAATGTTGTAGCCTATAGTGAGGTTTGTCTTAGGGGGTACAAAACTTAGGGTTAGCTATATGTACCCCAACCAACATCAATGCATCATCCATTCCTCATTCTGACACTACAGCCTACCAATATATATCACACATATATATCATTTGACACCTAGCTCTTAATACCATGTGAAAATAGTATGAAGGTGTGATGGGATTAGGGTTTGGAGGGGGATACAAACAAGTGTCGAGCAAGTTTCTGTACCCCCTAAGACCAAACCCACTACAGCCTACATAACATTAAACATATAATTTGACATAAGGGCGTACTATGCAGGGGATTAAGGTGTACAATTGTGCTGTATGATTGAGGGAAAATATGCCACTCGTAATCAACAAGGGTCTCGATAATATGTTTGGTAAAATAATAGCGGGTACGGTCACTGCAAAGGGTAATTTCACATGTTTGATAAAGAGTTTCACGGAATCAGTCACAATCAACAGGGAAAAAATAACGCGAATGGTCACAGATGAAACTCCCGCCAAAAACAGATAATACCAAAAAATACCCTGGATGCATTTTCGGATGAATCAATCCTAAACACAATTCGCCAGGTGTTTAGGGTTGATCCGTCCCCAAACTGCATCCAATTCCGATCGGGTTTTAGTATTTTACGAAGTTAGCTGATTGGTTGCGCGCGAGCGGGAAAATTTTAGAGTTTCAAGAAATTTTGGCGGGAGTTACATGTGTGACCATTCGCGTGATTTTTTACCTGTTGTTAGTGACTGAATCCGTGACCCCACTTACCAAACACCCCAGGAATCCCGATACAGTGACCGTACGCGATACAATTTTTACCATTCACGTTATCGAGTCCTATGTTGGTTACGTGTGGCATATTTTCCCTATGATTGATCAAACCATCTCAAATACACTATCTACAGTAGGTTATGAGATGTGAGACCATTCAAACATATTTTACTACAGATGAATCGGCCTATCAACAAAAAAAAACAATAAATAATCATTCTCAGACATCAATGGGACAATGACACCGTTTTCTTTAACTTAGCACAGAGTGCTTGGTAGTTCGGTGCATACCCAACTTTGACAAAAAGGCCATCCGCCAGCACAACTACAATCCCGCCGAACGCTTCTTCCAACATCATTGGTCCTTGAGCCCCCGAGAATGAGAAGCTGTATCGTCTCCGGCGACCGCTCTTGGCACTCGTGATGTTCTTAAATGGGAAAGGTAGTAAGCCTAGCTGAGTGGCAGCACAGGAAGACCCGGTGCCGACGGAAGGGTAGCCTCCAGATTTTATGTTGAAGACTTTGACAATGTATACAATGTAGTATGTCCCTGAGGATCTGCCAAGAGGACAAGGAAAGAGATGATCTCAAAAAGGGGAAACTGGGCCTGAGAGGAAGGGGTGGGGACACAAACTGGGCCTCATAGTCCGTAAAATTGGAAGTTGCACCACTGGTGGCAGAAAAACAGTAGAATACGGGACGTACCTCACTGCCTTGATGACAAATTTCCCCGATGCACCTTTGTCGCCCACTAATTTCCCGTTGAGCTTAGTGGGATACAGCTTGGTCACGTATTTCTCTGGTTGTGGGTACAACAGAGATGTGCGGCGCATTGGAAGCAAGGGGCGGATGAGACTGAAGGGCTTTGTAACCGGCGGCGTTCTCCAACTTGATCTACCGAAGCACACGAACACCTACTGGCTGTTACGAATACAACGCAAGAACAGCACATGGTCACTGCATTCGCGGCAGCAAGTCTCGGAGACAGCGCGCTGCGGACACTCACGGACAGTCTTCCCCTTCAGCTTCAGGGGCCTGGCCTGAGCGGCAAATGCGGCGGAACTGCCGCCGTCGCGTGGGAGGAGAGGCGGGAGGGGTGATGCAGGCGCCGCGGCAGTGAGGAGCGCCGCACCTGGCGGACAGGCAGGGCGCGAGCGAGCATCACGCTGAGGAGAGACCGTTGACGGGAACTGCCAGAACCTAAGGGTTTCTGTGGCAAACAGCAGACACCTTAATTACCACGAGACGGGTATCGTTGATTATTAATCACCACTTTAGTGCTTACAGAGAAGGATGACGACAGATGCTGCGCGCTGCATGCTGGTGTTAGCAGCAAAGTCACTACTGCTGGAGTAATGGACAAAGGCAAAGCAGCGATTCTGAAATGAGATTCTGGTGCCTGTTGCTGCGCGAGTAATAGTGGACAGAAAAGGGCGTGATGATCTAGCCTGGCGCTCGTGTTGCGGGAGGCTGAAGCTGAAACATCATCCAACCCAACCAACAATACCCAACGCCAGAGCAATGGACGATGAGATGAGCTCTTGTAACAACATGGGAAAGTACATGCCAGCTCCATATTTGACACGTTTCGAAATTCTGGCCCCGCAGGACCAGTTTTGAACATAATCTGGGCCTCGCGTGAGCGAAATTCCACAAAGTTGGACTTTTTGGGTAAACTCAGAAGTAAATTTGAGATATTTTTGAAACTCAGGAGCTGGCATGTACTTTCCCTAACAACATGGTATTGGACTCTAGCGAGGAACAAAGCGTGGCGGGGACGAGCGACCGAGATCAGTGGCACACCGGCCACGTGGATAGACTGTGAAACACGCTATCGGTTGCTAGTATCGCATCGCTAGCAAAGCCGGTCAAGCCGACAAGTTGGCTCTTGACAGTTGGCGCCCCAGTGCCATGGCTGTGGTGCCTGCCCTCGTTACAAAAAGGTGAAAACTCGATCCTCGTAGGCGTTTCGTACAAGAAAGTGGAAATATCATAAAAATTGGGGGTCCTCTTGCAATCATTCTCATACGCACATACGGTATTGGCTTACAATAACTGTCGAATCGATCATTACACCAAGCTAAGAAACGCGACTTAACAGCTCTTATCGTCACAAGCAGGACAATGGTTCCTGTTCCGAGTTCGAAGTTCAAACTCTCTCTTGCACTTTGCCTTGTTGCTCTCCCTCATTCCCTCCCTCTCTCCTCTTTCCCCCCATCCTCCCTCCTCCCGCCCTCCAACAAAACACAAAAGTACTGTAGTACGGTAAACTGCCTGCGCAACGCCATCCTGCATGTCGATAAGAACAGACCCATCACTCTGCCCCACTCCCACATTCCCTCCCACTCCCCACACCCCAAAAATCCTATCCTTCCTTTTACACCTGCCCCTGCCCCTCTCCTTTCCCCTTCCCCTTCTCCTCCCCCTCCGCCCCTCCCTGCCCCTGCGTTCCCTCGTCTTGCGCCCAAGGGAAGAGCTGCAGGGGCTTGTAGGGGTGGGCGAGCAGAAAGTCATTGTTCACCACCAGCCGCACCACCTGCAGCACGTGGCTCCGCTCCCGCCGAACCTCCTTCTCCAGCAGCCTCGCCAGCAGGCTCGGCGATCGAGAGTCCCCCTGGGTGTCCCGGTGGCTCTGGTGACCGTGGTTCATGTGGCTCCGCTCCTGCCCTTGGTTTCCCCACCCGCCCTGCTGCCCTTGCCCCTGATCGCCCCACTGGGCTTGCTGCTGCCAATCGTCAGCAGAAATGTGGGCAAAGGTGCAGCGAGCGCCCTTCCTGCAGTGCCCGCGCAGGAAGAAGGCGCACACACGCTTGATGCCACCCCGCACAGCCTGCTTCTCCGACAAGCGGCTGTCAGTTTGGACCCCCGCAGGCTCAGCTGTCATGCCAGGAGCAGCCGTGCCTGCAGCAGCAAGCCCAGTAGCAGCAGCAGGTGCAGCAGCGGGTGTAGGGGCAGTGCCATCAGCATCACCTGGTGGTGCTGTTGCCTCCTCCACCATCTCCTCCTTCACTGGCTGCACCACGTCTGCTGCCTTTCCTGCTCCACTTGCTTCCATCACCCCTGCCGCCCCTGCCGTCCCTGCCGTCCCTGTCGCCCCTACTGCCCCTGTTGCGGCTGCTGCCGCTGACGCCGGTCCACTGCAACTATCCTTCACCACACCACCATTTGCCACAACCCCACCTCCTCCACCTTCTTCCCCTTTCTCCACACCCGCTTCCTCCTCCTCTTCCTCGTCCTGTGCTCCCATGTCAACCTCTTCCTCCTCTCCCACTGCCTCTTGTAGCGCGCATTCTTCACCATCACCATCACCCCCCTCCTGCTGTAGCTCTGCCATATCACCACTCCCCTCCGCTGTCCCAAAACTCCCTTCATCCGACTCACCTAGCAAATCCCCTTCCTTCTCTTCTCTGGTGCCAGGCGCACCACTAGCACCAACAGAACCAGCAACGGCACCGGCACCGGCAGCAGCAGCGGCGCCAACACCAGGAGCAGCACTACTGACATCCACAGCACCGTTCACTCGAGAAACCTTTGCTGACCTTTCACCCTCACCCAACCCCCTTTCTCCCTCCCCATCCGACCCATATTCTCCTCCCTCGCCCTCCCCCCCTTTACCTTCCTCTTCCTCCCCTTTCCCCACTCGTTCGGCTCCCTCTTTCTCCTCCACATTCGCCCCACCCTCCTCCTGCCTGCTCCCATTTCTCACGGTGCTTATCTCCTTCATTTCACACCTCCCTCCTTCCTCGCTCTCATCACTTATCCTCACCCACTCCCACACACAGTACCCCCGCCCTTGCATACCCATTCCTCCACTCCCTCTCCTCCTCCACTCCTCGCGCCACCCACGCCCCCCTCGCCCCCTTCTCTCCTCCCACCCCTCCCTGCCGCCTCCCCTGCCTCTGCCTCCCCTTTCCACGTTGTCACGCAGTAGGTGCGTGGGCACTTCACAGATGGGAAGGCCCAGCTTCGCCTGTAGGGCCAAAACCTCCCTTAGCCTCTGGTAAAGAGGGGTGGACAAAACAATAACGAGCATGGGGAAAAAGTGAGCTGCCGATTTTTTTGAGAGCAGCTGGGGTGGGGGAGGAGAAGGGGTAGGCTTGAAAGAAACAGAGCAAAAAGAAGGGGAGAGGACGGGGTTGGCTGGGAAAGACTGAAGGGCAAGGACGGAGGGGGAAGAAAGCAATGGGAAAGGGGAAGAAAAAGAGCAGGGGAGAGGAGGATAGATGAGGGGAGAGTGAGAGGGGAGGGGTGGGGAGGAGGGGTAAGAAGGAATGAGGAAGGGAGTGTAGGCAGAGGAGGGGAGAGGGCAGGAGAGGGAGGGAGAGGGAGGGAGAGGGAGGGAGAGGAAGGGAGATCGTGGGAGAGGGGGCAAGAGAGAGGGAGAGGGAGGGAGATGAAGAGAGAGGGAGGGAGATGGAGGGAGAGGGAGGGAGATGGAGGAAGAGGGAGGGAGATGAAGAGAGAGGGAGGGAGATGGAGGGAGATGGAGGGAGATGGAGGAAAAGAGCGCACCTGTTGTCTCAACTTGCGGTCCTCATCCACCAGCTCGCCCCTCTCCTTGCGCTTCCTCGCCTCCTCCTCCTGCTCGCCACACACACATGGCACACATGGCACACACCGCATGCCCACAAAATGGCTGAGAATGCGTGCATGCATCTGTGCATGCGTGCATGCATCTGTGCATGGGTGCATGCCCTGTGCACTCTCCCATGCAGCATACACGCATGCGTCGACAAACACAGAACCACAAGAGACTATATCATCACACCCCACACCCCACACCCCACACTACTCAACATGCCTGGACTACCTCTACAGGCCTGCTCCCAAGCAGAGCACGATGGGGTGAATCTTGCACTCCCACCAACCAACCACGCCAACCGCTGCACTGCACGACATGTTCCACCGCACCGCCCATTGCCCATCCCCAACCACACGGCCCACCCACCAACCACTTGCCATTGCCCGTTGCCCATCGCTTGTGGGCCAACAGGGAAATCTCTTTAAACACCACCAGCAACGGCATAACCAAACACATATCCATGCGCTCACTTTCACCTCCCCCAGCCCCTCGGATCTCCCCCCATTTCCCCGACCAACCCTCCCCGGGGCAGAGAGGCAGCGCGGCACCTTGCGCTGCAGGTTGGCGGCGGTGGGGAAGTTGCGCCGGCGCTCCTCCACCCACTTGGCCAGCTGCTCGGGGCTCTCCTTCTTGCGGTACTCCAATGCTCTGACGTGGGGAGAAAGATGAGAGGAGAGTGATGGGGGAATGAGTGGGAGGAGAGAGATGAGTGGGGGAGCAGTGGTAAAAGGTTTGGAGAGTGGGCTGCCGGCATTTTGGCAGATCCTTGGCGCTGACTGACCTTCTAGTGGTAACCAGTGCCCTGTGTGTTGTATAGGAGGGCACAACTGTGTGGGGGTATGGGGGGTTGTGGGTGAGGAAGAAAGGAAGATGCTCCAGCATGTGGAGATGGGTTGTGGATGATCATTGTCAGCTACATAGAGCTGCACGCATGGCGTGGAGGAGCATGGCGTGGAGGAGCATGGCGTGGAGGGTCACGTAGTTGATCGATCCTGTGCCCACTCGCCATGTCTCGTCCCATGCCCCATTCATGCCGTGGCCCGCCCCGCCCAGCCATGCAAGCACAGGCTCGACAAGCACGGCTGGCATGAAAGAGCGTGAGAACGGGAGCAGAGGGGGCAAACGGGTAAGCAGAGGCGGAAAGTTGGTGAGCAAGCGCTGACCGTTTCACGCGAGCAGAGGAAGGGGCGTCGTGCACTGATGACTTGTGGTCCTTGAGCGCCCGCCCTGCCATGCCATGTTGTGCCATGCCGTGCCGTGCCATGCCGTGTCATGCCATGCCGTGCCATGCCATCATCACAAGGCCACAGTGGCAACAGTGAGCAGGAGGGCGGATGGACACTCAACACAAGGCCATCCAATCCCATGCACGCACAGCAAGTGCTAGGAGATCGATGGATGTGGGGGAAGGGGCGGCGAAGGGGGAGCAAATTAGGACGGGTAGAGGGCGTGGTAGGGGTGGAAAGGAACAGGTTGCACAGAGGAGCGGAGGGACGAGGATCCAACGAAATGGGCAGACCGGGAGAAGCGGGTGAGTGGAATTAGGGGAGAGGGGGGGGGGGGTTGGTGGGCGCAACAAAAGGAGGGGTGGTTGCAAAAGGAAGAGGGGAGAAGAAGGGTGATAACGGGGGAAGGGAGAGGGGGAAGGGAGAGGGGGAAGGGAGAGGGGGAAGGGAGAGGGGGAAGGGAGAGGGGGAAGGGAGAGGGGGAAGGTTTACCGCAGGCAGAGAAGGAGCAGCCTGGCGAGTCACAGATCTCATGCGTGGCGATATGTGCCGTGAGGAAGTCCTGCGAGGAGAACGACCGGTCACACGGTGCACACATGAACGCGGACGCTGCCGCCCCCGCTGCTGCTGCTGCTGCTGCTGCTGCTGCCCCTGCTGCTGCTGCTGCTCCCGGTGTTCCCACTGTTGCTGCTGCTGCAGCTGCTGCTGATGGTGATGGTGATGCTGGGGATGGGGATGGGGGGAGAATTTCTACCCCAGGTGGTCCTGGTGATGATGGTGTGAGGGATGCTGGTGAAGGCGGTGCGAGGGATGCAGATGCAGGTGCACCCACTGACGATGGTGACGCTGCACCCTGCATGCCGCCACCCTGACTGCCGCCATTCATTCTGTTGCTGCCAAATCTCCCTCTACCCTCCCCATCCCGCCTACCCTCCCCCCACCCCCCACGTCCGCCCCACCTCCCCCCTTGCCCTCTCCCCCTGCCCTCTCTCCCCCCACCTCTTCCCTCTCCAAACCCCCGCCCCTCCCCACCTCTACCGCCACCCAAACTTCTTTCCCCGCCCCTGCCCCTCGCTCCGCCTCCTCTCCCTCCTCCTCGTTCCCCATCCCTCCACCCCCCTCTCCCTCCCCCGCCGACTCCCCTGCCCCCATCCCCCCTACCCCCCCATCCTGGCCGCCCAGGGGTGCCTGGCGAGGGAGGGGGGGCGGAAGAATGAGGGGGACCTCCGGCGACCGGGGAAGGAGGGGGCGCCATGGGCGGAGGGGCAAACGCAGGGTTCGGGGGATAAGGCGGGTTTTGAGGGAAGGAGGGAGTTTGGGGGTAAGGAGCAGAGGGGCGGTGAAATGGGGGAGTGGGGGCTTGAGGCGAGGGAAAGGGGACTGGAGCCGGGGGGTACGGGGAAGAAGGAGGGGGGAACGATTGTGGGGGGGGCCGGGGAGGAGAGGCGAGAATAGGTTGCATTTGCGGCGGCTGCTGCTGCTGTTGTTGTTGCTGCTGCTGCTGTGGCATGGCAGGGTACGGGAAAGAGGACGAGTTGGCATTGGGAAGAGGAGACGCAGTAGGGTAAGACTGGGGAGGTTGATAGTGTTGCTGCGGCTGCTGCTGCTGCTGCTGCTGTGGCTGCTGCTGTGGCTGTTGCGGAGGAGGGAGCTGCTGCTGGTGGTGGTGGTACGGAGGAGGGGCGGCGATGGAGGGTGGACCCATAAGCTTGCTCTGAGGGGAGCCCATTGGCACGGCACCAGTGGTGGCAACTACCGGTGGGCGATTCTGCCACTGCTGCTGCTGCTGCTGCTGCTGCCGTTGCTGCTGCTGTGGCCCCTGGAGGGGCTGTTGAAAGAATGGTTGCTGTTGCTGTTGCGGCTGCTGCTGCTGCATGCCCGGCTGCTGCCAGTGTTGCTGGCTTTGGTTAGCGCCTCCCACAGACGGGTAAGGGGGGCGGAACGGCGCACCGGGCGCGGATCCAGGCGCACCCCCCATCGGCGGAGCCTGGACGGAGGAGGGGAGGGAGGATTGGGGCAGATTAGTTATGGCGGGCGAATGGATCGAGATGCGAGTGAGAAACAACCTTGGAATGCGCGCAATTCAGGAAACCCGCCGGGATGATAAACAACGAAAGACCCAAGACAAGGGAGAAACTAAAAAAAATGCTTGCGGAGTTCAACCACGATGGAAAAGAGGTTGTTTTTGAGACGTCTCAAAAAAAACCTCATTTCACGTGGATTTGCGGAGTTCAACCACGATGGAAAAGACTCGCGATGCAGTCGTTTGCGTCGGCATGATCCGCACCCTGCACACTCAGCGTCGCATATCGCCTTGGCTTCGTTTCACATCGCGAACCACCATCGTCGCTCGTGAGCGCGCGTGCGCCGCCCGGCACTGCAAAAGAAAGATTGACTCCACTCGCACGTGAAGCTGCCACCACCGCCCGTTCTATCCACGAGCGTGCGTGATTGCATGCGAGCATGTGAGCGTCTTCGGATCTGGGCGGTAGAGAGGCTCACCATGGAAGGCGGTGCGGACGACGACCATCCCGCCGTCGTCGCCGCGCCGGCAGGCGACCCATACGCGCCCGCACCCGCAGCCCCGCCCGCGCTATTCCACTGCGCGCCCATACCGGGAGGTTGCCCCGCAGGGTACTGCGCGCCGATCCCGCCCGGCCCTGTGAATCCTGCAGCCGAACCTCCGTTTGCGGCCTGGTACGGGCCTGCGTACATCTGGTTCGGAAGCTGGTTCGGATACGGTTGCGCGTTGTTCGGGGGAGCAGGAGCCATCGGCCCTTGCGGGAGCGCCCAGGGGTTCTGCATGGCGGTTGGTGGGGAACCAATTCAGAGAGAGGAGCGAAGACGGGAATATGTGTTTAAGTAGTGCTGTTTAGGACGCGTCCCCTCTCTCGATCGATTCTGGCCTCGATCGATCGAGGGACAGATACAGTGGCGCAATTGACAGGGTAACCAATTTTCGAGAAGACTTGCGAATCTTCAGTAAAGGGTGCCTAACGATCTTGTCACCTACGCTCGTGGGATCGATGTGCCCTCATGGCCACATCGATCTCGGCTTTAGTAGGATCGAGGGTTTTTTGCACCTTGTATTCTCGATCCTGTCACCCAGGGATCGAGATCGATCCGCTGTTGTCATCTCCTACCAATCCCGCCCCAATCCTGCGATCGGTGTGCCCGATCGGTTTTTCACAGCGATCGCGCGATCGATCGAGGGAGGGGACGCGCCCTTAGAAACAGGGTGGACTCGCTAGGTTGATGAGGGTGGAACACGAGTATGCTAAGAGGCAGTAACTCTAGTCAAGAAAGCATGGTGAGAATCAGGGTTCGGGTTCTTTGCGAGGTTTATGCGTTTGGCGCTGGTTGTGCTTGCCACATTGTAACACTTTTCGTCCGCAATTACTACTAACAACTGTAATAGCACTTACAAGTTTTACACATCAAACTAAAGTAATGTACATGTACTCCCCTCTTTATCACCAGTATAGTCAGCCATGTGTACGCCTTTCGCACAATCTAAACTACCAGTTAATGAAAAGAACTCCGCATCCTTTCAAAGTTCCGAATCATCAGCTGCCATATACACTCCTGTGTGCGTCCACCCCTTGCAGTCAAATAAAATCACCAGCCATGGCGACTGAGGGCAGCGGCCAGCGCACCAAGCGAGGAGTCAACTGCCGTGTTCCAGGAGCGAGCCACACTGTGCCTGAAGGACGGCCCAAACAGCTGCACCGATGTCTGCACACATCAACTCGGGGAGATTCCGTAGCAGTGGAGGGTGGAAAGGATCAGGGAGGGGCGGAAGGGAGGGGTGGGAATGATGGGATGCGAATGGAACAGGAGCGTGCTGACACTCCCAATGGGACTCCCAACGAGCTGATTATAGGTGTATGTATGGCAGCCGCTGCTGCTGCTAAAGAGAGGAAAAGGTCAGATGGCTCCAGACTTGCCAAAAACTGTGCCAGTTCAACAATCCATGCAGGTATACTCAGTAGAAACATTAAACTTCAGGCGAATGAAGGTCTGGGACGAAATCAAGCTGTAATCGGGATCCTGTGTGGCTTATTCCCCTGTGTAAGTCTTTCAGGCAGTACACAGCTCTCACAGGGTGGCATGGTGGCTGTTCTGCCAAGCCCATGCCGATGCCTCCATATGGAATTTACACACAGACGCATTTAGTCGAACAACAAGAAGCACACACTCGCGTCGTCGTACGTAAACTAAGCCTACTTCCGGAATCAGCTGTTGCAACAAAAGCAGCGGGATCCAGCAGAAAAAAACACCTGGAAAACCAAGCATCCACCAACTACTTTCCTCTGACTGACTCTGACTGACCTCAAGCGGAGGAGGTGCAGGTGGGGCGGTCTGGTTGGCAATGGCTCTTCCTGTGGCCGCGGTGCTTCGCCAGACAGCGAGCTTGCAGCCCCAATACGCCGCCACCGCCGCCCCCACGCCACTCGCCATGCCCACCACCCGCTCCTGCCGCACTATCGTCGCGCCCACCCCCATGCCTGGCACACGGCACGGGCGAGGGGAGGACAGGGAGGGAATGAGTTCAGGAGACAAGGAGGTCACTGTGCTGGGGGGTGGGGGTAAAGGGAGCTAAAAGTAGGTGCGACAGCCCTTTGGTTCCCCCCCGCTAGTCCCTTGTTTACCCTTTCTTGCCCCTTGTTTCTCCCCTTATTTTATTCCCCCCTGCTAGCCCTTTGTTTCCTCCCTGCTAGCCCCTTGTCTTCCCCTGCTAGAAACTTGTTTCCCCAAGCTAGCGCCTTCTTTCCCCCCTGCTGGCGCTTTGTTTTCCCCATGGCAAGTGCAGGATACGGCATGCCATGGCAAGTGCAGGATACGGCATGCCATGGCAAGTGCACGATAGAGCATGGAATTGGGCAGGAAGGAGGGAGATGGCTGGCAGGAGGGAGATGGGCTGGCAGAAAGGGGAGATGAAGGAATGAAGGGGAGATGAAGGCAGGAAGGGGAGATGAAGGCATGCTTGCCCTCAGATTGGTAAGGAGGGACGGGACGTGCGCATCTGGCAGTGGGTTTGAGGCCGCAGGAAGGGGAGATGGGGTGGCGGCAAGGGAAGTTGGGGTGGCGGAAAGGGGAGACGAGGTAGTGGAAAGGGCCGATGGTGTGGCGGGAACGAGATACCGGGTGGCGGAAAGGGGATACGGGATGGCGGGAACGGGATATGGGATGGCGGAAATGGGATATGGGATGGCGGGAATGGGATATGGGATGGCAGGAATGGGATACGGGATGGCGGAATGGGATCTGCGGTGGCGGGAAGGTGAGAATGGGAATGCAGGACGAGGAAGATGGGAGGGGAGTAGGCGAGACGAGGAGGAGGCAGCTCTCGAGGGGATGTGGGAAGGGGTGGTTGGGAGGTGGGATGAGGCGACTGTTAAACGACAAGGGGAGATGGGGATGCGAGAAGGGGCAATCGGGCGGCGGGAAGGGGATGAGGATGCGGGAGCGGGTTTTCCCGCGGCGGGAAGAGGAGATCCGGCGGCCGAACCGGAAAGATCGGACGGCGGTAAAGGGAGATCGGACGGCCGACTCGGGGAGATCGGGCGGCGGGAAGGGGAGATCGGGCGAGGGATGGTGTGGTTGGGAGGCGGGAAGGCCGAATGGGAAGGAGGCCGTCACCTCCGCCTTCTCACCTGCGGCTGCGAGGGCCAGTGCCTGAACGGGGCCGCGAAACTGTCAGTGGGTGGCGACGAGGCCGCAAACGAAAGATTCGTGAGGCCGCAAACGAAAGCTTCGCGAGGCCCTAGCGGCGAGGCGAGGCGGCGGACCTGCACGTCACGAGAGCGACCATTCGTTCCCTCCTGCGAATGAATGCGTATTAGGCGACGCTGGCGCCGGCGAACCCTTCGGCGTATGACCTAAGCCTGGTGATGATCGTGCTCGTCCTTGATTGAGCAAACTGCGGATGGGCTTCTATGGGGAAAATAAAATGAGTAGAGATTTCTGTAACTTTTGACGTCGAGTTGTGAGAGGAGTTGTTACGGGTGCACTGTAGCGAGATAGCGAGGATTGCACTAAGCTGGCAAACGAGTAGAAATGCGAGCGAAGGCACGAGCGAACATTTATAAAGAGTTACTATGGTAAAGTGGTGAGTGCGAAGATAGCTATTGGTTAAATGTTTTATTGAACTGCAAGTCCTGAAACCTTGCCAGAGTTCAGTATTGGGTGGGGTATCTCATCCTCCACTCCCCGACCACCTGGCTTGATTGATAAACCTTTTGCCTCCCGCAGCTAGATTCAGTAACCCCACTTCAACATTACAACACTGTTGGGCTGAGAAAAGCCCTTAGGATCTTTGCAGGGGTAAACTCTGGGTAGGAATAGTTGTAATAGCGGAAGCGTTAATGAAGAACTTGTGAACCACCTTGCGCTAGTATGTGAGGGCAAAGTAAGTTGATTAAAACAAGAAGATACAAGGATATATATAAGATTACAAGGAATATGAAAGGATACGATAACTACTTTTGCTGTTGCGGTTTGATACAGTGACGACTCGGGCAACTGCTCTGTAGCGAGTCAGTTGTGTGTCCTTGCTGTCGCGCTGTACTTGTCAGGTCAAAGGTCGCTGACCGTTGACTTTCACGTAACCTCCAGCAACTTCTCAACCTCCAAGGGTTGACTCGCGAATGTCTCGATATGACTTTGCTTCGCTTCTGGTGCGATGTTTCGACATGACAGAAGCGTTTAGGATTCATTGTTTCCAACACTCCCCTTCGCTTCTGGAGTGTCGTTGCTGATGACGTGGCTCTGTCCAGTCAGCAGCATGCAGTACTCGAATTTCTGCTTTCCGAGCTTCTTGGTCAGGTAGTCAGCTGCCATCTCGGATGTGGGGCAGTATGACAGTTCGAGTCTCCCCTTCTCGATCTCGTCCTTCACGAAGAAGTAGCGCAGGGCGATGTGTTTCGTCCTGTTCGCGAAGCCGTTCTTGTTGGCGATGCGAATTGCCGACTGGTTGTCGCAGAACAGGGTGAAGTTGGGTAACTCGGCTAACTTCGCTTCTTCCAGCAGCTCGCGAAGGTAAAGTCCTTCTTTGGTGGCTGAGCAGAGTGCGATATATTCTGCTTCAGCTGATGAGAGAGCGATCAGTTCTTGCTTGCTCGACTGCCAGGAAATAGGTCCGATGGGTTCGAGGCGGTAGATGTAGCCGGTGCGTGAGCGTCTGTTGTCGGAGTCGCCAGCGTGATCGGCGTCGACGTAGCCGATTAACTTAGTCGGTGCAGTTGCGTTCTTGTAGTAAGTTAGGCCGATCGTCGGGGTGCTGACGAGGTAGTGAAGAGCGCGGTCAAGCTCCGCTAGATGCTCTGCTTCGGGCTTCTTGAGGTAGGTGGCGAGCTGGCTTGCGGAGTATGAGAGGTCGGGACGGCAAGTGACGGCTGCGAAGAGGAGGCATCCTAGCTTCCTCTGATAGTCGCGTATGCCGGCGGACTTGAGTGGAACGGATTCTCCCTTGTTGTTTCCTGTCGTGTAGCGGTACGGCGTGGAGATGGCGGTCGGCGTGAGAGCGAAGCGTTTGGCGATGGTGTCGGCGTATTTCGCGGCGTTGAGGTAGATCGCGTTTTCTTCTTCTTGGATGTTGAGGCCGAGGTACTGGGTGACGGTAGACGAAACCGTGAGTGTGAGGTCTTGCTGTAGCTCCCCTTCAAACCAAGTGGTGATTTTGTCGGTAGAGCCGATGTAAAGGAGGTCGTCTACGTAAATGATTAGCAGGATGTAGTCGGTGTTCTTCGTGAGCCGGTACATGCCTTGATCGTGCGGTAGCTGTTAAAAGCCGATGCGGATGAGGCGGGTGTGCAGGTACTGTTGCCACAGTCACGGGGCTTGCTTCATCCCGTAAAGTGACTTGAGCAGCTGGCAGACATGTGTGGAGTCTGTGTTGGAGCCGTGTGGTAGCTCCACGAAAATCTCTGCGTCAACAGGTGCGTAGAGGAATGCGTTTGCGACGTCGATTTGTCGCAACTTCTTCTTCTTCATGGCGGCGATTGCGAGGAGAATGCGTAGTGAAGTGTGGCGGCTGACCGGAGCGAAGGTTTCGGTGAAGTCGCGTCCGTGCTCTTGGTCAAAGCCGCGTACGACCCAGCGCGCTTTAAATTTGTCGATGGTGCCGTCAGCCTTCGTCTTCACACGGAAGACCCATTTTCCGGTAAGAATTCTCTTGTTTCGCGCTACGCCGATAGGAACAATCTTCCACGTGCTGCGTTCCTCTAATGCCTTCAGCTCCCTGTCCATGGCTTCGCGCCATTTTTCTCTGTGCTCCCCCCCCAGAGCCTGCTGAACTGTCGCAGGCTCCTTAGGAATGGTGGCGCCGTGGACCGCGGTGACGAGCCCGAGTATCTGGAGCCCACTCTGTGTATAGCGGGGGAGTGTGGGACCCTCGGGATAAACTGTTTTGTCTCCAGCTTCTGGATCAGGTGCGAAGTTGGGCCCTATGCGTTCTGCTTCGTTGGTGTTGACTTCAGCAGGTGTAACGTAACCGTTGTCGGCGAAGTGGTAGTAGACTTCGGCGTTGACACTTTCGCGAGGATTTTCTTCGTCCATCGGTACGTCGACTGAGCAGTAGGGGAGAGGTCCGGCTTCTTCCGAGGCTCTGTCCACATTTTGCTCGTCCCAGTCAGCTTCATCTTCTGCCGAGGCGAAGGCTCGGTCTCCACGGAAACCACCTGTGGGGTCTTGATTTTCGGCCAGGTTGGCAAGGTACGTTGGCAGGGTGAGTCGCTCGTAGAAGATGACATCACGTGCTGCCACTGTTTCTTTTGTCGCGACGTCGAAAATCTTCCATGCGTTGTAGTGTTTTTTTATGCCCAGGTGTAGCCCCCACTGTGCTCGTTGAGAGAATCGTCCTGCTCGTGCGGATGGGGGTCGGTACTGTACCATGCAGCCGAAAACTCTCAACATTTTTGTGCTGCCCAATTTTCCTGTCCACAGCAGATGCGGTGATGCGTTGTTCGGAAGTGAGGACGAAGAAAGCAGGTTGTGCAGCATCACGGCGTGGTCCATTGCGTCAGGCCACTGATGGTTGGGTAGCCGCATGCCACGTAGCAGTTTGCGCATGGTGTTCTGTAGGGTCCTGTTCATTCTTTCTGCTACACCTTGCTGTTGATGGGCGTAGGGAAGGGAGATGAGTCTCTTGATTCCCTTCTCTGCCAGGTACTGCTTGAACCTCTGTGAGTTGTACTCTACTCCCCCGTCTGACTGGAAACTCTTCAGCTTGGCGCCCGATTCCCTTTCTGCTACGGGAAGCCACGCGACGAAGGCTTCGAAGGCCATGTCCTTGCTCGGAAGGTTAAGATGCTAGACGTAGCGTGTTGCTGCGTCGATGAACGTGATGGTGTAGTTGTACGCGTTCTGTCCGGGGGCGCGGTTGTACAGGATGTCGCTGTACACTTTTTCGAGAGGTCCGTAAACCGGAGCCCCGGGATTGTGGTGAGATGGGAACGATTGATGTGGTAAGTCGGCTTCGGGACAGGTAAAGCAGGTTCCTCGTG